CATCACTGTGGATGACAGAACACGGATCAAGGTTACATGGGCCAAACTACACCTATGAACAATAAAATCCTGATCCTGTGTTATTCATTCCTTTTAGCAGGATAGATGCTTAGGGGGAAGCAGACCCGTACAGAAAATGAAGACAAGTGAGTAAAGAAAAGTCTACCACTGGGAATCCTAGTCCCAAGGATTTTTCTTAAGGAAATAGGATTTAATGAAGGCTGCTCATACCACTGATTCTTGAGGAATGGATGGCTGACAGAGGAAAGTTATGCCATAGCAGAGCAGCAGCAGCCATATTATAATTTTATATACATATTGCAGGGTTGTAGGTCAATGTCTTCCTCAAAAATCTTGAGATGAGCTAGTAAGTCCAGCTATAAAGAAGAGAATTAAGTTCCTCCTGAGCAGGCCAGAAAATTTGCAAGGCTTAAAATACTGCCATTTTACTCCTTATTTACTCATTGTCAAATTAATGCACTGAATGCCCAAAACACAACATGATTAATTAGGAAGAGTTCAGTTACAGTAAAGGTTATCACATTTCCTTAATGCTTTCTTTTCCAAAAGCAGTTTAGGTTTGCTATTTTTAAGATCATTATAATCAAGGTCAGACCAGGTGATAAAATTTCATGCTAAGAGTTTCAAGCTATCTTCTGAATTTTGGGGATTTTCCCCCGTCAAATATGACTCGAGTATACATTTTCTGATTTAATAGAATTTCTTTTCAAAACTCTGGAACTGAATTTCCAGAGCATCTTTATAACTAATGAGAAAACAGAATATCAGATATAGATATAGACTATTACAAGAATACACATTACACATCATCCTAACCCATCTTCACCAGTTATTAAATCTTGCAAGTTTCAAACATCCGGTGATATGCTGAATGTCACAGCTGTTGAAAACTCTACTGTTTTAAAGCCTGAGTCATGAAAGCTTGATATCTGTTTCTAAAAAGACATTTCAGTGAACCAGGGTCTTTAAAAGGTGTTACTGGTCTTGCTTTGGATACTCTGAAGCATTTCCAGGATATATACCCAAATTCTTGGCCTGAACTATTTTTGATGAAGACAGAGTCAGTAATCTCTCCTCTTATAGCATCTAAATTAGGTTACTATAAATCATGGATTTATGACAAATGAGATAAACATTCCCAAAATACCCTTTGGCAAAGTGCTTTTGGACTGCAATTTTGCCAGATTTTTATTTGTCTGTAAAATTGTCAGTCTGAAATGTACAGAGGCATCATTTAGGTTCTGTCATACTGCACAAAAATACTTTGGTGTGTAGCTCTTCCTATTTGTATAGGTTATGCATGTCAGCAAGTCTTGACTTCTTTTTATTTGGACTTATGAACTGCAATGCAGGCAACTCTTAAAAATCTGTGGGTTTTAGTACAGTGTTTCTGGAGCAAAATTCTGGTTACAGAATTCTGTAATCCCCCTTCAAACTATATCTGCCTAGATTTAAAGACTTTTTTACAGGTTAAGATTACTAGCTTGGATTTATTTCTACACAAAGTATTTATCTGATTCCACAAAACATGAAAAAACAAAATTGAAGAGCTACAGTTTGTTTCTGGAGTTGAATTTAACATGTCCTATTACTTTACTGCAAGGACACCACAACTCCCAGTGGAGCCATGCTACTGGTAAAAACTGTCTAATAAGGAGAATGCCCAAATTGACTTGGACTGCAAAACCCAATATTAAAAACTGTTCTCACTTCTACATGCTGAAGCTTGCAAGATTTTAAGCCAAATATAAATTATTTCAGACAAACACAAAGCAAATTATTAAAAATGAACTTCATTTTTATTTTTATAAGGCAGAGCAGAAAAGAGCAAGTGATGTTAATCTGAGGAACAATTTCATAGTGTGTCAGAAGTATGATTTCTGTTAGAAATGCATGAATTATGCCACACAGTGCTTACAAATTAACAAAAAAAGTATTATAAAAGTGAAGCCCCGCTGTGTCAAATATGCCACACAATTTTTCTTCTAATAACAGCAATTTAGGTTAGGGCGTGACTCTTCTCTGATATAGCTGTGCTAGTACAACCCCTAGTGTGGACACAGTTTACTGCCATGAAGGCGTTATATTCATATAATCTAGAAAGCTTATTCCTAAGAAGTAAAAGTATTAAGTAATGCACTGTTATTTCAGCACAGCTACATCCACAATGGGAGGGCTGGCTGAGAGAGAAAAAGAGAGGGCAGTAGGTTATGCTACTTTACAACATATCGGGCCAGATGAACAGATGTGGGTTTTGTGTTGAGAAAGTGTGTAGTACATGTCTTCCCCCCCAGTTCCCTCCATAATCCTGATGTTAGTCAGGATCATGATGGATGATATTACAAAACAGTTATTCAATTTAAATGGTAACATTGCTCATTGCTTCTTAATTATTAAGGAATATTAATGTAAAATGCTAATAACAGAGATTTATAACATATTGGCAAGTGGGTGTTAGTCCTAACCAGACAATAAACACAGGGAAAAAGATACTAGGATAAAAGGGAGTAAAACCAAAGATGTATACACTCTCTAAGTTTCCTAAATGATATAAGTTCAATTTTGAATAAGATTTATAAATACCAGCATATGATAAATACCAACCTGTATTTACTTGACATACAGATATATGTATCTGGTGATCCTAAACTGTAGATGTGAGGCTTTCTGCCTATTCTGACACACCTGAATAATTTTAAGGCTTTTTTAAAAGTCACTCCATGTAAACTAAAAAATATCTTGAAAACTGAAATTTATCCACAGCACAATTAGAAATGCATTATATGTCAAGAAACAGTAAACTCGCTCTCAGTATGTTAAAGGCAATCCAAAAAATGATCCTTTGTTTTTAAAAGAGAAAAACCATATCATTTAATACAGAATAGCATGAAATACTCCTACATTATTGTCTCTCTACTTTAAAAAAAATAAATATGTATTTATTATGAACAGATGGTGGCCAAGGAAGGTATCAGCTCTATCTCTTAGCCAGAAGGTCAGGTCATGGCTGAGAGACCAAAGAACAATTATTATTTGCTATTCAGTGCCACATAAGATAAAACAATTCAGGTTTTCTTTAAATACAAAGATAGATGCGATTGAACTGTTTTCATTTTTTTAAACAAAATAATTTGCAATAACTTATTAACATTTGTTAAAATTTGATTTAAAAACCCCCAGCCAACAGGCAATAACAGAACAAGGCACTCTAACACTCTTCTTGGGTTGCTTTTAACGTGTTAAATAATCCTAGGACCTATACAGAACCTTTTGGGTTACTGGAGCCACAGCTAATAAACAGCTGCTAGATACTGAGTCTGAGAATTACAAAATTGTTTGTTTTCCTTTTTTTTTGAGGAACCAACAATCATATTTGAACAATAGAATAACATAATTACTGAGTATCTAATCTTTATCTAATTATCTAATAATTTTTGCTGATAGGAACTATCCCTCACATAATTTCACTTTATATCAAATTATAAATCACCACATTTCAGTGTATGCAGCTCCACACTGATTAAAATACCAGTAGGTCATCACATGAGGTTAAAATATTTTATTAAATTTTGTAATTTGTTCAAAAGGCAATCCTCAAGCAAGTTGGAGAACAGGATTTAAAATCCAAGATACTTCTTCAAGTATCTTATTAAACACATCCTGTTTTATTTGTATGCCAAGATTATGCCAACTCTTTTATCTGTGATATCTGTCAAGACACAGACGACAAGCCTGTTTTTTGTTTTTCAGTGTCCTTAGGCCTAAAGGATGCAGGAGTGAAAAAAAAATCAAACCTTGAAAAAAGGAACACTTTAAGACCTCTCTTCTTCTGCGCTGTATCATTTTCTATACATGTTGAAGGGTTATTTCACCTAATAAGCTCCTCCTTTGGATTTTACATATATTTTCATTATCACTTGAATTAATATTGCTTCCTGACTAAGCTTGTGCTATTAAGTTAATAAACTTAGTCTCCTACATGCAGCTTTTGAGGAACTGGTAATTAAAATTTTAATTTTTGAAATACTTCATTTTATCCCTACATATATTCTTATACAGGGAATGATCTGTTCAGTTATTTAAAAGAAAAACAATGGTTCAAAACGTGTTGGATAGGCTGTTCAAATTACAAAAGGCATATTAAAAATATCATCCTCATGTGCATCTTATAAATCTGTGTATTCAGAAGACTCTTATGTGCAAATCACAACTTAAGAAGGAATACTCAAAGTTTGAAGTCCTAGAGAAAAATGAATAGAACCTCAAGAAAAAAGGGCACTTCGAAAGATGCAGATTACACCTGTTCAAGCTGTTTGCCAAGTATGTTGCAGGTTACTCTAATAATCTTTCTTACTGAATGGGATGTTTTCTCACAGACTACGTGTAAGGCATATACTGGTTTCTGTATTACTATAAATCCCAGTTTTAGATAAGCAACAGTTAATGCCAAGTGGATTTTTTTCTATAGTTATTTTTTTTTCTAGAAGGCTACTTTTGTTTTGGTTTTGCTTTTTTAAACTTTTCTATGAATCCCAGCATTCACTAACATTGAATCTTTAAAGAAATTGGAAGATAAATGATTTTCATTTTTGGCATCATTAGGTTATGCTTAGAGCCTTTAATGTTCTGTTAGGCTGATGTATAGGTAATTATGTGTGGATTTATTTGTGAGAAAAGGTGTATAAACACATGTATACAGTACATAGAATTTAAGTAGCTGGCATGAATAATATGATAGAGTAATTCTATATGAAATCATGGAATGAGTGATGCGCAAAACTGAACATATCAGGGCTGAAAACAAGATTAAGATAACCAAGAGGTATTTATTTAGCAGTAAAAGCTGGCTTTTTGCCATTAATTTAAACCATTTAACAGTAATAAATGACCACTATCAGAAAAATGAATCATTCCAGCTTCTGAAAAAACCCTACTTAGGCAACTAATAACTGCAAAGTTATAGCAGTATTATCTCTTACCTGGTCCTTAATTTCAAGCTCCCTTATAGTTTTTGTTCTGTACTCTCTGAGCTCCTTTTCTGCCTCATCCTTCTTCATTTTGGTTTGATTCAACTGATAGCGCATTTCTCCACACACCTGTTAGATTACACAGACAACATGATCTGTTAGCTTGAAGAGTCCATAGACCAGGCTCTGCAATTAGATCTTCTGGTGCCCTCTACAGGTCATTGAAATGCAACAAATTTTTAATTTACAGATATTTTAGGTCTACAAATGGTAAATGTTTTTACATAGAAAGGTGGATCTGAATTCTATATATAGTCATAAACTTTGACATATGCACTACTGTATAGATTCAAATATATTTGGATCGAGATTTTGCTAAGTATAAATGCTGATGTTATAAATATCTATCTCTACAGTTAAATGACAGTTGCTGGTTTTATATTCTCTCATTCTCTGTAAAATCCCAAGAAAGTCTATGTCAACTTTCAAAACTTAGAAGTAAAGCATCTATCATGCTCCTAATTAAAGGTGTATTTTAACTTGCCAATTTTACACTATTGAGAAAGAAATTGTTTAAATGTTAAGCCAATAATTTTCAAAGTTTGATCAGAGCATTACAAACTTACTGCAAACTGAAGATTAATTCTTTAAAAAAAACCAGTATAATTTAAATAGATACATGGTCCAGAAGAAATGGATCAAAACAACATTTCAGGAAATCACTTCTACACAGGACAATTATTCTCTGCTGTTGGAGTGTTTGTTATATTACCCCCTCAATCCTTTCCATCTGGCATCAAATTCAGAGGAAATGTGAAGGGGTTAGAAGAAAGTGAAAGAAATAAAAAAAAACCTAAACAAAACCAGAAGATTACTAATCCCTTTCACATAACTTTACTGCTGTGCAGGGTTGTTATTCTTCCAATTTTCAATCTAAGCTGTCCCCTTTTTGTTCTTACCCTGTGCCATCACCTCCAATTTGTGCCTGTTCATTTCACCTTAATTAACCAACCAAATACATGCACATTCCTTAGTGAGAATGCAAATGTGTTTACTCATAACTCCTCTTAGTCAACTTTCTTTCCAGCTTACTTTCCTGCCTTGCTTATATTCTCTCAGCACTTGCTCCTTAAATGTACACCCTTTTAATTTGCTGCTACAATCCTCTGTGCTTCTCAAAAACATTCTCACGCATTCTACAATCCAAATTAATTTATGTTTTTCAGTCTTATACCTCTTCTCATTTTCACTTTTTTTTTCCTCCTTAAAAAAAAGGTAGGGAAAATGTAAATATGGATACTGCAATTAAATCACTCTAGGAAAAAACTAAACCAACTGTCATAACTTTCAAGAAGTAGCATCACTTATAAATTCAAAGGACATCTTTTGAATTTAGCCATTTCAAATAACCCACAGCAGCAAATGCTCTGAAGAATGGCAAAGTTCTAAAGCATTTTTTAAACACTAAAATATTATATGCAAGTAAAAAAATCTTGAGATGCAACTGCATAGCTTGCAAACCCTGTATTTCTACCTCCTCCTTCCTTTGTCTGAAGGATGTAACAAAATGCAATATATGTCACTTCCTCCAAGTGAAATTTAAAAAATATAGCAAGCCTTGCTTTCAGCTCTCCACACACTGTACAAAGGGAATAACACAGAAGAATCAGCAGATGGTGCTGTCCTAATAATGGATTTTTAGTCTCCTCAAGAATGAAGGAAATAGAGCCTCACTCCATATTTTCTTTTCCTGACTTCTGGTGCATGAAGAAAAACAATATTTTGGATAAAACTCAAAACTAATATGTTAAACTAAAACTAAATGTTATTTGCTGTTTTTAATAATGGCAAAATGAGTCTGGAAACAAGGAGTCAGATTCACAAGCAAAGATGTCACGTAGCCAGTGAAAATGTCAGGGTGATGCACACAGTTGTGTCAGCTCAGTGGTTGGGAGCTTCCTCTAGGATTTTCAAGATTTCTCAGTTTAGTACAGGGACAGAAATTAAGTTTTCCAATCTCTCAGGACAGTGCAATTAATAGACTATTGCAAGGTGACCACCTATTCATCTTTGTATTAACATGAACTGAAGCAGGGACTGGAACCACAGTATCATCTCCAGAGAGGTAACTTCAAATTGGAAGGGTACAAAACTGTTCTTTTCAGACTAATGAATATTTGTATCTACTGCCTCTTTCACCACTTCCTCACCCCTGTAAGTGGTGCTAGTGATTTGTGAACCCAGCCTGAGAGACCGAAAGTGTGTTTCAGAATTGGTAGATTAAACCATTCTGACATTTTTAATACACTCATTTGTCTTTCAGTTACAATTAAAATAAAGTTGCTAGTAAGTTGGGATGACTTTTTGCTGCGAATTTTCTTCCATACTTTTGCCTCTTTCTATCAGCCAGGGTGGCAGGGGAAGAGGGGAGCTGTTGAAAACCTCTCCTGAAATCTCTAGAGGCCCAAGGAATAAATTGCTCCTTAAATCCTTGCAGTTAACAACTGGAGAGGTAGGACGGGCCCTGAGATCATTGGTAAGGAAAATAGATATCTCAAGAGACTGTAACAAATATATGTTTTCTTTCTCATGTTATGATACCCATAAAGGCTCTAATCGATTGAGAAATGTGCAAAAGAAAGTACCCAAGAGTGATAGACCTACACAAGATGTATGTCAAACTGTAATTGTTAACTAGAGATGTCTTTGTAAGAGCTGTACTATCAATAGTACTCAATTAAGCAGTATACTACATAAAAATTTTCTAAAGGAAAGAACTTGAAAAACAGTGATTTGCAACAGCTCCCTTTATTGTAGCCCTGCAAGTCCCACAGGTACCAATTAAGGACACTGTTGAAGTCTATGCTGTCTCACTCAGACCAAACTCAGTTCTTTACTGAAACACTGGGATAGTGTTTTAAAAAGTGACCCTCATAGGCTGCAAAACAGAAAAGTTAGCTTCTGCATGACAAGGTGACTTGGAAAAAGTTATTTTTTTAGTCCTGCAATTGGGATAGTTGTAGTGCCTCTGGGATGTTGAGATGAAGTCTACAGTTACCACACATTCCTTACCAAAACAGGGGAAAATGGACAAGGTAAAAATTCTCTTCTTTCAGGTAACAATGATAAGGAAAAACAATTTCAATGCTCCTTTATATATGTGCTTACCTTATTCATCTCCATTTCATGAGATGCAAGTTGGCACTGTGATTCTTCTAACTGGTTAACTAGAGAATTCTTTTCCCTTGTAATTCTCTCTATTTGAGCCTCCAAAACAGCCACATCCTTAGACAAAGCTGTCACCTGAAAATGTCCAAGAACACTGTAATGATGCAATTTGACCAACCACAGATCAAACTCTGGTGGAACTTTCTCCTCAAAATGTAGACAAAATACATAACATTAAAAATGTAATAAAAAATCAAGCACGTACAATAAGAATATAGCCTATATTAATAATGACATAACAGAACATGGATACATTATTTTATTAATGGGTTCGCTATTTTTAATTTATGCATCATGCAGTAGTTTATTTGAAACTTTTTATCGACTGCACTAGTCTCCAGGACTTGCTAATATAGACAAGGTGTCAGAAGCAGCTGGCTACATTAGTTATGCATTAGTTATACTCTTAAATGTAAGAGTACTACTTAACACCTTATTATCCATCCTTGCGTATATTGATTCAAACCAAATCATGTTCCCCTAGCTAAAGAAATCTGTTGTTGCAAGCACAGATCTTAAATTAATTTTCAAGTTCAGAAAACATTTCAACACTATAGATCAAAGCATACTGTTGTGCAAAACTCATATAGAATTAGTATATTAAAAATTCTAATGTAATTCAGATGAAATTTTGGTGGATGATTAAAAAATGTAACAATAAAACAGAGACAGTGAGCCTTCAGCTATTTAGCCCTGAAGCTTACTAATATAAGTGGAAATAATGGTGTCTGACAGTTCTAGGTTAACTTTCAGAAATTCAAAGCCAAACCTAGTGGATTATACATTCATAACTATTTTTCACTCCTTATACATCCACACGATTTATCTATCATGCCAATTCTCCCCTTCAAACAAACCATTTCATAAAGTAAGCAATAAAATATTGAGATGAATCTTGACTTGATCCACAGTATACCATTTCTACCACCTCATAAAAGTAGTTAATCATATGTAGGTGTAAATCATTAAGATAGATCATCATTTTCTACAAAGTCATCCCATCTCTTTAATTACCAGGCATGACATCATCATAGTGTCACTATGTGTTGTTTAATGTACATGCATGATTAAAAAAAAAAATACAACTACTTAAAAGTGGGAATTGGTTCTATTAAAACATAGTTCAGTGGGGGATGAAATACAAACTAATGTGATGACATGGAGTGAAATATTCTACCAAAAAAAAAGTATGAAATGCTTGTCTAATGGGCTATATTTTGGAGTGAATATACTGCTTTAAATCAACTCTGTAACAAAACACCTTCATAAAAGGGATAACTTCTAATAGATAGGAAGGAGTCAAACAAGGAATTGCTTAATAATGTCTCCAGTGGAAGATAATTTTTTAAATTTCAGTTTCCTTGGCAACAGATCTCTGACAATCAGTTCACGTACTTAAAGATCAATTAGTCCCTATCGCTGTGCTTAATATCTGGTTTTGTATCTGGAATTGGAGTCAAAGAAGGTTTTTTTATACACACTTAAATGGTTTATTTTGTTCAGTTTGTGATCTCCAGATTTTTAGAAATAATACATACAACTTATAAAAGAGTCCCAAAAAATAAGAAAATGTCTTCAATCAAGAGAGAAATTGACTCTGTTGTTTTCACACCTCCACCATAAATGGTTGAAGATGTTGCAGATCAAACAAGCACGAAAACCACTGATTCATGAAGTATTTGTCTCTCTGCATTTCTTCCCATTTCAATCACCTTAGAAATGCCTCCTCTATCACAGGCTTACTGCTGTTAGCTTGAGCTTTTCTCTGTAGACTCCATTGGGCAGAAACCCCTCATGTTCTATACTCAAATTACCGCAGCATCTAGAAGCCTAAAAAAAGGTTATCAAGACTATCATGATGGTTGTGGCATAAACGATGAGACAGATTCTGTCTCAGAGAGTTTATAAACATTAGTAAAAGTGAGAAGAGAGATTCCAACACATTTCTGCAGGTGGGAAAATTAAACATATGATAAGATCACTTTGAAATTATGACATTGTAACATTAATGTATATATAAGATCAAAGTAGCAAAGAATCCTAAATTTGACATGTGCTAACTTCTGAATGCTTGCCATGGCAAACTAAATCATATTTTTTTTAAAAAGCTAGGGACAAACCTTTAATCACATATTACTTAACCCTTTCTTACTCTGACACTGCATTAAAAACAGTGCATTACTCTGACAGTGCATTAAAAGTATTATGAAGACTAAAATAAAGTGCATAACATCAACAACCTAGTATGCACCTAGTGACATAGCACAAAACCGTTATTCAAAATCAAAACATCACTTATCTACCGCTGTTTTAAAGAAATGGTAGAAGTGACTGAGCTCTCACACCCAAAACTGAAAAAAAAGACAAGTAAATAAAGTTTGAAGAGGATGATACACTCAATTGTAATACACAGAGGAAGAGCCAACTCATACCATTGCTGCCAAGTCCTCCCTTTCCTTCTTCATTTCTCGCCGCAGTGCTTCTTTTTCATCAGCCCTCTTATTTAGCTGGGCAGCCAGCTCCTTTTCAAGATAATTCTTCTGTCGTTCCATCTCACTTTTCAGTTGCTCACAGTGGACTAGAGCCTAAAAAACCCCAATTTGCTTAAGTGAAAGAAACCTAAAATTTTTAAACAAACATGGCATTTATCCAATGCCTTCAAATAAACAACTTTGCTATTAGAAATGTATTTTTTTAAAAATGCATTTATTTTTTTATGATGTTTATAAATATCCTACTGTGTTAACATCTAGAATAGGACTAACAAAACGAAAACAAATGTATGTGCTTGTAGGTTTGTATGTTTTACATGCCTTACTGTAACTGAGAAATTTAATTGCTTTTAGGAATCATGGCAAAGATGGGAGCATTTTTCTGCGCATATTTTCCAAATAAGTAGCTGTTCTTCTAAAACTATGACTATTTGCCTTGCATTTAAAATTTGCAATTCCTGAATGCACATCACTACAATCAGCCTCCAGTATTTGATTCCTTGCAAATACTGCAAATTCCTTGCAATACAAAGTATTTTCTGTCTAACTTAAGAACTGAAGGAAAAATTAATAAAATGTATGAACTTCCACTTAGTCTCCTCCTAAAGTGAATTACTGAGTGCAGAATGCTAAGAAACTTGAAAGCAGTCAGTAAAAATACAAAAAAAAAAGTTTGAAAAATAAATTTCAGTTTTGTCAAAAATTAATTCTACTAAATACCTCATAAAGTACTGCTTAATTTCAGGTGCTAAAACACAGGGTTATAGATGGGTTTTCTATCAAAAAGGAAGAAACATAAGTTCAATAATGCTCTCAAAACACTGTCTTCACAGTCTTCTGAAATGCTGGGGAAAAAAAGATATTTATCTATTTATCCTGCTATATTTCTGCCAAGTGTAGAATTTGAGTGTTATGTCAATTTAAATCAGAAACACACCACTCCATTACAAGTAAATCCATGTATTCAAAGCACCCTGAAGGGAGCTTTGCTAGCCTATGAGTAAACTCAGCATTCCACTGATATCCAGCACATTTTGTTTCAAAGAAGCTAGAGTAACCTCCCTTTAGGAATTCTAACTTATTACACTTTATTTTCAAATTAATTTTTTTAACTGCTTATTTTTCTTTCACTCAAAGCCAATCCCCTGTGTTCAGTTTTTTTGGCTTTGGACTGTTCATGAGAGGAGCCATGTTCTTTAGAGAATGCTCTAACAGTCTCCATTAGTGTTATTGCAATTCTGTGGGACCCTCTTCAGTGTCCCTCTCTTATCACAAGTCTACTCTGATGAGAGAATCCCTCTGTTATGGCATTGAATCCTTTTCTGTAGGAAAAATCATCAACTTCAGCAAACAATTGCCTGCATAAAACTGCTGTAGCTTGGTAGACATCTAAACCAATGCACTCTAGAAGAAAAAGTTGCATTAGTTGCATTTCAAGAAGAAATGTGTATTTTGTTAGCTCCATTGTTCTGACTACACAATGAGCAGTTCAAACAATTATTATATTATGACATTTGTGTCAAAAATAAATTCCTGATTTTGCTTCAACTATGTAAACTTAAACATAACGTATATCTCCTTCCTGCTCTATGCAACAAGCTAGAGGCCAAAAACTACAGAGACAACCAAAAAACAAAATGACATGGTGGGTTTAAATGATAAACACCTGAGGTTAGACTTTGGGACAACAGGCTGATGAAATTGCAATTTGAAAGCTTGATGTGTTAATTCTCACTTTTATTACCTGGACTGTTCTATGGGATTCCGTGCTAGTTATAAAGAAAAACAGCACTCTAAAGTAGAATAGGACTGGGGGGAAAAAAAGGATGGTTTGTACTTACCAAGAGGTATACTGGTCCTTGTAAAAAGGCAAAATTAATGCAGTAATGCAGTATAAGTAAAAATTATTTGCCTGTTCCTTCCTATTAAAATAGTTTTGGAGCATGAAAAAAGCCCAGACTACTATTCAGTCTTGAAGACAAACAGGTAGCACTTCACACAACCCTACAAGCACACACTCTTCTCTTACAGCACTGGATAAATAACACAAATTTTATCAATAGAACAATTATATCAATCTTGTTTGCATTCAATTACAAAAACCAAATCAAAGCAACCCTCTCTCAATTCCACAGTAATTCACTAATAGTACAGTAGATGTCACTAACTATCAAGGAAATAATTTAGGTGAATATAGGTTGGTTGTGTACAGAACTAGGGCTAACACAAGCATTAGATGAAAACTGGTTTTATCATTATTATTTACATAACACCAGAAGCTTAGACAAGCTTAGCATTATAGACAAGACTTCTCATCTTCAAACAGCTCACTCTGACCGTCAATCAGTTCTTGCACTGCTCTCATCTGAGGCAAAAAAGAACTGTTTGTAAGCATTTTAACTATTCTTTCCAGAGTAGGTCAGAAGTGTGATGTCAAAATTATCCTCTTACATATCATGAATGTCTTTGAAAATTCTACATCTCAATTTATATCACCTAGCTGTGAAAATACATCAATTAAAAAAAGGTAGCACTCTCATAGTATTGATGAGAATTTAAGAACTTGAATACAGAATTCATATTACTGCTCAGAAACAGTCACATGGTGCAGTTGTTTTAAATTTACATTATATTAAAATATGACAAAGGTCATTTGCATGCATTCTCCCATCAGCATGAAAACTAATTAACATTTGCATTAGATGTGAACACTAAAAAGCTCCAATTTCATGATGGATTTACCTTTGTTTTTTCAAAATTGGCCTCTTCTGCCATTTGCACAGCATGTTCAACTTGCTTACAAGCATTAGATTCTCTTTGCTGCATCTCTTTTATGCTTTGTCTCACTGAAACAAGTGCATCCATCAAGTCATCTCTTTCTCTGCATATTAAAAAAAAAACCAACCCAGATACTTCTATTTCTTTTTCTAAGAGAAAAAAACCCAAACAACAAGTATACCAAATATAAAATACATACAGATGAAAGGCTTAAGCAAAGTGGTAAGCAAAGCAAGACTAAAACTCACGACAGTATGCAGCATACTGAAAGACAGCATACTGCAAGCTTGGCAGATACTGAAAATATCATTTGCTTGACAACCAGTCCTTCATTTTAGAAGAATGGACCATTAGAGAAACTGCCAGTAAAGAGAGCAGATCTCAAGTCATTAATGTACAGAAGTTGAGCACATTCTGTTGATGTAACAAAATGGGTATCCATGCAAATAATAAAATAAAGGCAATATGGAATTACAATCTCATTAAATGTAAAAGAGAGAAAAATAATAAAAAGGAAGGGGTAGGTTCAACAAGTAATCATTAAGTATATCAAATGACAATTTTAAAATTCATTTGCTGCTAACTGGAACTAGGCCAAACAACAGGACACCTGGATTCTACAACTCTTTACTAAGACACTAAAATCTGTGCTAAATGGTAAAGCAGAGTTGGTAAAACTGTAATACCTAACTTCACCTTTTCATTATTGTCATATATTAAAAGATTTTAAATTAAGTTTTATCTGTTGCCTGTGGTTTAGGTGCAGCTCAAGATTCTGTCTGAAAACTGTTGTGTTCTTAATGTTGTAAAACGGTAACATTTTTTTTATTTGCCAGAGACCTAGCAATCATACTTTGAAATTTCATTTCATTTTTGAATTGGATAAAGTTCCTTTGAAAATTCCTACTGAAATACACTTGTTTTTAATAAACTGCACCACAAGCAGAGGTAGCTTTTAGATTTTTTTTAAACCTTCAAATGAAATAATAGTTTAAGATAAATAAAGACGTCAATTAGAATTTTTATTTCAAGCTCACCATAATATAAGAGGACAAGAACATACTGATTTACAGTTTGTTCATATTTTCCAACATCTGTGACAAAGAATTACTTTTGTTACAAAAGCAGATTTTGAAACATGACTTCTCAGCAATACAGCTTAGCCAGAAAATTTTTGGACTTGCTAATAGGAAAAAATACATAAATCCTGGTATTTATGTAATAAATACCATAATAACCATCCAGTGCAGAGGGACAGCACCCACTTGACTGAGTTCATATATGTTCTATGCCCCCTCAGTCTCCCTGCTTCTAATTGACCCACTATTCCATCTCAGGCTCATTCTAATACTTCAGAAATTCTAAGAAGCTTCAGATATCTGAAAATAAATAGATGGCTGTTTAACAAACTTTGATAAAGTTGCAGTATCCTATCATTATTACTATCATGTAGAAAGGGAGAGGTTTTTTGAACATGAATTGACTGGCAGAATTCCTTAAAAAAAAGAATTTAATGTTGAGATCCCTGAATTACATATATCCAGCCTATATAGCTGTGATTTAAAAAAAATTAAATTAAAGCTATAATTCTTCAAAAAAGGGCACAACAAATAATTTCATTTGTTTTTGTCCAATGGAACTTCTTTTCTCTGTCTTATTGTAGTCAGGGAGGATCTGCTACAGGTGTTTGGGGTAGGAAATGCATCCAACCCAAGCACACGACCTATTGTTGATGTATCTAAAAAGTTCCTCAGAGGTAAAGAGAATAAAGTGGAGCCAGAAAAACTTCCAAGAACATAATTATAATGAACTTTTGCAAGAAATAATCAAAATGCATGGACTTGCACAATATTTGTGCTGACAGGGTGAAGGACTTGTCTGTACAAAAAGTACAGGAAACAGACTGTAAATTGTCTCATTATCTGGTCAGCCCAAGGTATCATAACTACATTATAACAACTAAAACTCTTTCCCACTTGAAATAAGTAGCAAAGCTATTGTGGATTTTGAAGTGGTTGGGACCTACATTCACCGATTTCAGCATTATGACTCCAGCTTGGGAGTGCATTGTTCCATAAATGCACATCTCTCTGTGAATGTAACCCAAGACACTGAGACTTAAAAGGTTTAATGCAAGCAGCCAAACTTCCAGCACAAATACACAGCCCCACTACCCACCTCGTCAGCCTCTCGATGGTCTGCACGTGGACATTACAGTGGGTCTGTGCAAGAATGGCCTCGTGCTGGGCACAGTTCAGGCACAGACCACCAACCTGGCTGGAATTTCTGGCTGCAAACAGTGACTTTTGGTGTTTCAGCCTTCCTTCCAAATCTTTGCATGTCTTCTGAGATTCTGAAAGGTCTTTTCTAGAAAGAAGAAATTTGTGAAATTAGATATTTCTACAAGTCATATTCATATACAATACATAAATACAAATATAACCTAAAAAGAACTGTAAGAATCCCTGTAATGAACATTATTTTACACATTTTCAATAGGCTAAGGAAGACTTTAACACAGAAATAACAGTTGAACCGCCCAATCAAAATTATTAATAGACAAAACAATACTGTGTTAATTTGTTTCTTCCCCCATATTATCAGACAATATTGAAGTTAAACAGAAAGTTATTAGACAAAGAACCTGTAGGCTTACATTTTGTCTGAACAGAGTATAATATTCATTATTTTAAAAAATCAGCTGTATAAATATTTCAATACTCTAACAATTTTCTGTTGCTTTTATTAATAACATCACTAACTTCATATTTATTCTCTACTCCCTAGACAAGAATCAGCACATTCACTCAGATCCAGCAATATACACAACCTGAAAGAAAAACAGGCTAAGTTTTTTACTTGTCTTCAAAATATTTACCAGGTACTCTGAAGACTTTTCCCCAGAATTTCCAAGCATGTGTCAGGCTGGGGAGATCGCAAGCAATAGGAATGTTAACATCAGGAAGTTCCAGACAAACGCACGCTGTGCACATATAGATCAATTTGACAAATTGTGCAATGAATCCAAAGCTTTGGGTTTGTTATGCAGGCCATCTGGGCAGCACACACTCAGGAAGTCTGACACATTCTGGTTGCATCGGATTTACTGTGCACATGATATATACACTGCGTGCATTCTTATTTCCATCTGGAAAATCTTCTGTGCACTTTTTCCAATTTTAGTACTTGGTCTATTACATATAACCCACTATAACCTGAACAGAATTTGCTCTGCGTATATCCTTAGACAGTCGTGGCGCAACAAACCTATTGTTGGACAGTTTTGGACAGAAATCAGCAAGCCTGTGTACATTCATCCTTCAAGTTAAAAGGGAAGATAGTCCCACAGAAAGCCATGTAATTTCTCACTTCAATAAGACTTAGTTTTGCAGAACTTCCTGTTTGCAAGATCATGCCTCTTAGGAGAAATCAGAGGCTGAATAATGTACTTGAGGAACTTCTGAGACAACCCCTAACAATTATTTTTTGGTAAATAGAACACTTGAGGCGAAGGGGAAAAAAAAATTGGATTATACAGCTGAAATTGAAGATCCTCCTTTACCTTCAATAAGACAACTGGCTTTGCATGTTACAGGTTTCACCAATGCAGAAAGCATTCTTTTAACTTGTCTCCCTACCAACAACTCTTTTTACACAGAGAACAGTCTAGCATTTTCAAATATTTGAAACCACAATTTATTTAGGGAAAAACATAATTAAACGGTAGTAGAAAGTAGTTAATTATGGAAGTTGTCACACAAGTTACAATTGTAATTTCTCTTTTTTCCTTGAGTGGTCTACCTTATGTGGCCTTTCTTAGGGGAAAGAGGGTAAAAAAAGAGAAGATGTTTTATATTGCTACTGTTTCTATAAAATAGCAGTGCATTCAATTTTGCTACATCTATATTTGAAAAAACTTAATAGAAAACCAGTTTTCAGGCACACTATTAGAAGATACAACATTCAGGCATTCTCTTATTTAAAGTCAGATTAAGAGCGGTTCATTCTGTTATGCAGTGACAATTTATTCAGGATTATTTAAAGAAAAAAAAATTCACTTTACCTTAGAGACTGTATTTGAGCATCAAGGATATTGACTTTTTCTTGATAAAGAAGTTTTAGATTCTCCTTTAAAAAAGATGGAAGAAGATATGTCTTGCTTTCTTCACAACAGTCTTTACAAACAAATCTAGACTTTACCCACATTCTTTTCCCCTGAGGACATAAACCTGTTGAAATACTAGTGGCAGAGAAACCTAAATATTTCAATTTTCTGGAAGTCTAAAAAGTGAACAGCCCTACTATTTTTTGTTTCTAAATACGGTTTTTTGCCAGATCCTCATATGGTAAATTGTTTCAATTCCAACTGCATTCCTCAGCTTTCTACAATGATTCACAGAAACTGATAATCACGTCTCGAGTTTGCTCTTGCTCTCCCACAAGTCAGCAGATATTAATACATAATTATTAAGAACTTCAAGTACACAGGCTATTTATTTATAATACAGGGAGTTACTCTTCATATACGTGGTGAAGAAGTAGGTATATGAATCAACCTCACCCATGTTAAATACAATGGTGATACAAACCAGATAAAGCACTACACATTTAGCTCACTATGACACTTAGAATGAAGTTACAATCAGCATGATTTTCCTGATTTAAATGTGGCAGATGAAGAAAAAAGCAATTACTGTAAAAAACTGCTTCCGAACACCTGCAGGCATCAGCGATCACTGAGGTCTTCAGCTCTAAAATCATAGTACAAAAAACCCCAAAACTATATATTTCTATGAAAAAACCCTCAAATCCCATATAACTAAATAATTAAAGTACTGTATAAATTCCACAGTACACAAATGCACATGGACAAAATATATCAAAGCTTTTCAATTAGCCAAGTTTTTTCCCAAAAGACAGCAAAATTAATATCCTCTGAAACTAAAAATACAGGAGGAGGCAACATCATCTCTAAATTACTAGGACTCCTCTGTATCTCTAAAAGCACAAGGTGTGTAATTCATCTAAGGGAAAGCAGATTGCACAAAACTACTTTTGTACCTTCCTGAGCCTGTACTGCTCCAGGAGCAGAACAACTCATTAGGAAAAGAGCTTGTGTAGAGGGCCACATAAATTACACCAGCTAGCTCCCACCTGCTTGGGTGCTGTGTTACTCCTAAGAATCTCCAAAGTACAGTGAAGCCATCATCTTTAAACAGGAACTATCTTTATAGGAACTATCTCTGGGAAGTCATCATCTGCAGACAACCTGCCATCTGTGTCTAGCTGCACAATAATATTAATTAGGGTATAATGAGAAGATGAGGTTTAAGAGAATAAAATTTGAGCTCAGATTAAGGTTCGGTTAACTAAAACTTCTCCTGTGTCTGTTAAAAGCTAATCACAACTGGAACAACAACACTAAACAGTTTTGCAAAGGTAGGACTCTGTGAAGAAAGGTAATACCAACCAGTTCTACAGGCCACGTGGCTTTGTCTCCAGAAGCTGCTGCAACAAAAGCCTGATCTTTGCTGTGTGCCAGTGAGGAGGTGACAGGCTGATGTATGCTGCAGTCTTTACCACCTACCGGCCAGGATCTCTGAGTATTTGCCTAAAATGAAAGTATTAATGCTTCAGTTATGATTATGCAGGCTGGATTTTTTTAAACAAATTTACTTACTTAAGTATCGAATCTTATAATCTTCAGTAGAATATAAGAACCAATAAACAAGTTAATTAGGTTAGCAACCTACAATAATGATGTTACCCAAGGAAATCCATATTTACAAATTCTCATTAAACTTGGACTAAAATTCTGTTTGCAGACAACCATTTGTATACCCTTCCATAAAAATAATCTGGCCAGATCCTTGAGAACTGATTAAAGCAACAAAAAATAAAAACTTACTGAGGCATCAAGAAGAGTTTGTTCTCTCAACATGTATTCTGCAGTTATGAATTTCAGCTTCTGATGAAGTTCCTCATTTTCAAGTAAAATTGCCTGTTCTTGATCTTTCACCCCACACAACTCCTCCTATAGGATGAAGGAATTGCATTTAAAAGGTTCCTTAAGATGGCTATCAATATTGAAATGTATCTTGAGACCAAGAGTCTAGACTATAATTTTCAAATATTTTAACCCTTTTAGAGAAACTAAGAATTCACAAAAGAGAGATTTTGTATTTTTGCAGCTTAAATTACTATAAATCTTCTTTAAAAAAATGCTTATTTGTATTTGTCACAAGATGTAAAAATGTCTTTAAAGACCCTTAAATACTAGATACCAGGACACAAGGTAAGGGATCTACTGAACTGATTTGGCTCAGTTTTGGTCATTACAGCAATCAATCTCAAATCTAAATGTAAGCTGCTTTTAATGCAGTTCTTCACATTTGGGGGACCAGGGTTTTAGTAGGTCAAATAAGTTGTCTGATACCTTGTAAAACTTCACTTCTGTTTCCAAATGTTTAATGTATTGTGACTGATCGGTGATTATAGGAACAAGATCGAAAAGGGCTGGTAAGTCTTCAGGCACAGCTTCTGGGGGCTTCTGAAGGAAGTAAAAACAACATATGTTATGTTCTGATTTTCCATTATTGCTGTAAGATCTTGGTTGCACACAGAACAAAAGTACAGTTTAAATGCACACCGAGTTGTTAATGGAGTTGTCTCCATTAACACTAGTTCACACTTCTGAAGGAAAACAAGTATCTTTATGCATATCCCTATTTTTGAAACTCACACAATTCTAACACCTATGATTTTGTGTCACAAACATGCCTTTTTGTGCAAAAATATTCCATTATATATTTACTAAATATAATTCAAGTCTAAAAGAGATCAAAGATTCAGAAACCTACATCCTTGTTTTTAAACATTACTTTTGAAATATTCACCATTCAAAAAAAAAACAACCAACCAAAAAACCCTAACCAAACCTGAACAGAAACCCCCACAAAACAAAATTTAAAAAAAATCAAACCAAGCTACTAATGGCTTTAACATCTACTAGTTATCTTATCTACAGGTTCTGCCAACAATGCATTAAAATTCCTTGTCCAATCCTTAGAAGGTATAATCCTTAAATTAGGATGAGATGAAAGTTTCTAGCAAGAAAAACCTTACAGTCAAATTATGCCAAATATTAGTATTGGCTGTTTTAAAGAGGGGGACACTCTTGAGATATCTGGAACCAGGACTGCATAGACAAATGGAGGATATCCAGAACTATCTGAAGAAACATCTTTTTAGAGAAGGAATTCCAAATTTGCCACATATTCTACCTAGCTCAGTAGACATAAGCCCCATGTTCTATTGACTCAGAATTCATCTTGATTTAAATTCTTAATCCTAACTACTTTCGAAATTAAACCAAAAAAAGGAACCACACTTAAAGTATAAAGTTAAAGTATATATAATATAGCCTTGATAATATTTGTAAGTTGTCTGTTTCTCTGGCTCCTATTCATCCATCCCTCTTCTCTGAAAACGTAATGAACACCTTGCAGCTGAGACCTCCAGCTGCCTCCCTGACAAGATTACACCAGAGCAGTATTAGAAAATGTGGGAAAAGTCAGTTTCTATTCAAATTATTTTTCACTGAAAAACAGTTCTAATGTTTAAACTGAGAAACATCATTGTAATGTAAACAATAGTGCTAATGAACTTTTTACTAAAAAGAAAATAACATGTAGCATATTTTCTCAACACAAAAAGATCAGAGGACCTCTGTGACTTTTTTTAACCGTTTTAACAACAAAAATGTCATAAATTAATTATAAATTGATTTGGGATTTTTAAATTAATGTTCTCACAATATAATGTGTAACAGGGTGAAAGAACAGAAGTCAGGAGAGGCATGAATTTAAATCTATGACTAAATATTAAAATCAGAACTGAAAGACACATCTGATCAATATGAATTACCAAACAATTATGCCTGAGTCTTGGAAACACTCTTCACATTAAAATACTTAATACTGAAAAGGATTTATAAAATATAAATGCTTAGCTGCTCTAGAAGCCAGCATTCAACATGGTGACAAACAGTTTTGCCAACATCACAAATAATTTGGCCCACCTTGTACTTTTCCAGAATGTCTCAAATCTCAAGCATCTAAACCACAGAATCAGAGAAACTCTGCCACCGTATAAACTGGCATGAGACAAGAGGAATCCATCACATATAAGAGTGTCAGGAACAGAGGCTGGGTGCAGCTAGGTTAGCCAAAACCCAGCTTGCAGAACTGCAGTTGTTATGTGAAGCAATCTTGCTGGGCCTTGACCTCAGGTGATGAAGTGTAGAGCAAAAGGAAAATTTCTGCCCAACCACCTGGGTGTAATCAAAGAAATGATTTAATAATTTGATGTCTATTGCAACTTTAATCTATGGGAAAGAAAAGGGAATTTTGTTGCAACAATATAATTTATATGTATGAAGTGTAGTAAAGATTACTAAAGTGTATAGTTTTTGTGAAATGTTACATTTAGCTATATATCCTGCAATCATTTACTATTCAGCAGTCATCAGGTATTTCAGCAGCACTCAAAGCAAAAGGTTAAGGTTACTCATAATCTAAGTTTGCTTTCCTTGACCTTTGGGAAATTGGATTCTTCTTATACAAGAAGTGTTTCTGCAGTGTCCAGTAAATCACCAGACAGGCTCATATTTTATGAGGGCTTGGGCTTATTTTTGGTGTGTGTGCACTTTTGCAGTTCAGCATTTTTTTGAGCTTTACACGTGGTCTGACTTCAGAACACTTTCATATCCTCAAGCAGATGGAGGACAGCTGCAAAGGACAGTAAAGCCACACTTGACAGAATATCTCTCACTGGAAACTGCAAGAGGAAGAAATGGGGCAATGCTGTACCAATACAGAAAATTCCCATTTTTTTCTCTGTTTATTCCTCCATCCTTTGATCCACTCCCTGAAAGCACTATATCAAGTTTCTTAGATAAAAGTAATCAATTTTCTAAATTCTCCACTCTACTAAAACTTCCCAATATAAGTAGAAAACTTCACCAAAGATGGAATAAAAGACTCTTTCTCTTCCTTCCAAGGCTAAATACAAACTGATACCGATTCATGTCATGCCAAAGTCATCCAATGGTCCATCAAGCCCTTGAGCTACAAAACACTAACTCTTTCCTATGCCATTATGAGGCAAAATACCAGGCAGAACAACCATACTAAACTCGTTGGCCTTAGAACACTCAAAAAAGTTAACTTTAAATAAAATTCCTTAATGTCAGGACAGCAGAGCTATGCTCATTATACAAGCTGAAAGCAACACAGCAGGAATACAGATTTTAGATTATTCTGCTGTTAACTTTGACAGCAAAGAGCTGCTTGTCTTGCTTAGTATAAAGCAAAAATATTCAGTGTAGGCCATCAAAAGATAAAACTGCAACAGCGCCTTTGAATTATTTTTCTGTGGAGATTCTAGCAACTCTCAGCTGCTCTGTAACTGAATGGTGTATCACACGTACTGTGGTGCAGTTCTGCTTCCATGAAGCAGCATCTGAGAAGCCCTTGTAAGGGAGTAATCAAACTTTGACAGAGACCATTACATTTAGGCAGAGAACTACAAAACCTGTTTTTGCACGAACATCTCTAACTCTTTCAAGAAAAAGCATAGTTAAAGCATAAGAAGGACACTGAGAATCCTTAAGGTACAGTCAAAGGGAAAAAGAGGCTGCTTTTTCAGAAATTTTTCCTTGTTTATCCCAAGTGTTTTCAAAACAAAAAGGATGGACAACCACATTACATGGTCAACAAAAAGAAGAAAAGCATAAACCTTGTATTATAGATTCCTTTTTCTTCCATTATGGACATAAGGATACCAAGTTCTGGTCATAGCCTCAGGAAGCTCCCATATTTAAGATTGTTAAAATGATTCAATGTTTTTTTTTTTTCTCTTTATACTATAAAATCAACATGCATGCTGTTTATTCAAACAAAAATGAAACCAGAAGAAACATACATGGAATGAATTCTTCCTTCTTGAAGGAGACTCTTCACTTTCCATTCTTTCTTGGTGTTGCAACAAAATTTTAAGTTGGTTAACTAGGAAGAGATAAAAACCATTATAATCAATATATAATTACGTTTAAAATTGAAATTAGTGTAATTCCTAACAATGTTTAAACCATTTGCTTTCAGAGCAATCTTACCCGCATGACTGTGCGGCAGTTCCTGACTGGGTGCAGTCTCACAGTCATCATTGGCCGTGTCTGCATTGTCACTGCCCTCATCCACAGAGGACTGGTCAAATCCTGTGCCATCACCTTTTGCCAAGGCATGTTTCAGTTGAGAGATGCTTTCACTGGCACGTTCTAAAAAAAAAAAAACAAAAAAAAAAAACCCCAACCACATCATTACCCACAATAATCACCATAAAAGAAAGGATTTACTGACTGATATTTCAAATGGGAAAAAACATGAGAGAGCTACAAGCATTCAGCATGTGTCTAGCTTGACTACTTGACCTAAACTCAGCCACTGGAAGCAATTATCTAATGCAAACAACCAAAAAAAACCTACCATATTTGCAAAATATTTACTAAATACAAATTTTTCACAGAAGAGCTATACATAGCATCTTAGCCCCTCAATACCATTAGGACACTGGAGCAGCACAAGTAATAATATACTTGACCCTAAAATATTTCCTAACATTTGCACCTTCCATACTTTTCTATGAACCTAAAGCTCATGCTACATTTTCTACAATATGCTGGATTGGAAACCAAGAAAAATGTTTTTGCATTTTAGTGATGCCGCCACACATTATTACAATGCAACATGTCACACAATGAAACAAATACCTGAGTAAATGAAGTAATAACTCAGCAAACCAAGCCACCATAGAACAGTTATTTAATAAACATGAGTGATTTCTGAACAATGTGAAAAATAAATAACAACACACACTATTCTAGAAAAAAGACCAAACAAACACAGCAGAAAACCTCTATCCACATAAATACAAATATTTTCAAGAGCTGACTTGCTGACAGATGATACAATAAAGGTCTTATCTAATGTTCAATATAATTTTTCCTTATATTCCTTTCTTAATCTTTTATTTGATTCAGCTGACTTCACAAAAATAATAAGCATATTTTAAACAGTGAAAATTTAGTAATACAAACCCAAATACCATTTACAAGGCAATGACTCAGAAAAAGAAGGGTTTAGGTCAAATATTTCACTTTTGGCATACTTAGGCTCTTCATGCTTTCTTGAGCATTCCAGGATGCTATGAGGGCGGAAGAGCTAACTGAGAAATGGCAGAAGTATCTCACTGATGCAATGGCTTAGATATTTAGCAAACTATGTTGCAACCATTTGTTGCCAAGAAGTGTTCAATGTAATATAAATTGTCATGTGGTGTGCCTTAATCTGGCAGCATTGAAGTTCCTTCATTTCCCCATTCCCTGTAGTTGTCTGCCAGAGAACCCCAGAGTACCAGTATTTGCTCCCTAGCCAAGGGACAAACAACAAACCAAACCAAACCAAACCAGAACCAACTAAGCCCATATATATAGGTTTTCCCAGAACTTCTCTCTGTCTGTAGTATTACAGCTTCTGAACTCCAAGCTATTACTTCATCCACAAAGATAACAGAGATCTTACACTCTGTCCTCTTTTCCCATAAACATATAGGCCAGTAGTAGTGAAACACATTAAAACCACTATCAATGGCACAATTATGCCAATTTTTTTTTTTTTTTACTACACTTTCCTGCCTCTGAAATAATGCCACCACATTCTGGAAAGTGTCAGCAAGTATCTGCTTAAATTTCTTAAAAGCTTGCCTATTTTCAAATTACTAATGTTGCTGTCATAGGCAAGACACTCTCCACTGGGAAACAGGGAATTAAGTCCCAGTGGTGTGGCTTTACATTCACCAGATACAAGAGATCCAACACTTACTTCAGTAAGAGTTGAACTGGATGCTTAAAAGGGAATAAATACATTACAGTATTTTTTATTTCCAAAGTAAGGAACATAATTTTGGACACTAGGATAAAAGACAATATACCAAGGAGCAGAAAGACTATGTTTGTTGTTTCTTACAATGTTAAAATATTCTTTTTAAATATGAAAGAAATTTTAAAAAAACACTGTGGATGCAAACTACAGGACAACAAAAACATCTGCTGAAAGACAACATGATTAATTTTTTAATTAATTCAGAAGCAATTAATTTTTAAGTCTCCCCAATTCAATCTGTTTCTGTTAAGCCACTCCTGTAATAGTACATTTTATAGAAACATGGCCTCAGTGAAAACATACTGCAAAACCTGCTCACATGCAGCACTATGATTTGCATATCAAAATCAATCAGCACCTGTCTTTTTGATGTCTTAACAAGACTCTACAAATAAAATCCAAACTCATATTCCTGTTCTATGCTAAAACATCGTGGAAGTGCTATTTCCTATTGGAACAGCTGATGATCTAATTGAATTTGGACTCATGCGGATTGAAACTTCAAAAAAACTCCTGACTTACTATTAAGCCCTTTGGTTTTCAGTGTTCAAAGGATCTGAGATGATTATGAAAAATGACCAGCTAGCACCCAAACCTGATGGATCAAACTCAATACATTAAAAAAAAAAAAAAAAACAGTGTAGAAACAATTTGCCACTGAAGTCAAAACAGGAAAAAAACCCAGAAGGCATTGAACCAGTTTAGCATTGCCTAAACAAGAGATGTTTCCTCAGGCCCTGCACAGAATTCTTTAAAAAGAGTACTCCTTTAAATGAAAGCACCAAAGCTACCTCATTCATGGACTCAGAAATGCCATAGAAAATAGTCTGGGAGCAAATGAATCAATCATTCAAAACAACAGAATTGCCTGAAAGACATGGAAAATAACTCCAGCTGCTAGAATCATTAAGCAACATAAATTGAAGAAAACAAACGGCAAGCCTATGAAAAAGTTGTTATAAGTCTGTCACCCAAACCTAACAGTCCAGTTCTAATAATGTCTACAAGAACATGAAGTTACTGGCTATAAATTCAACAAACAGCATAACTTGCTGATATCTCATGGTTCCCAATCAGCAAACAGCCTTAGAAAATTAGAGAAGGAATTACACTGATTCCTTAGGTCTTAAAAAAACCCCAAAGCAAATCGCTGTAGAATTTTTGTGAAACAGTAACTAACAAAAGAGACAATTAGACACACTAGTGAAAGCAAAAAGACAATGGCCATTTAAAGAAAACTTTCCCGTCCAAAATTAGATCAACATTTGCTTCCATTGACAGCTAAAAATCTAAAATATTATACCATATATCTTTTCAGTCAAGTAACTACTGAAAAATATTGAAACTGAGAATTTGGTTTATAGGGGTTTTTGAGTTTAGTACACCTTGGAACTTCACTTCCCATTCTGACATCCAGCTGTTCCTCTTTCTTGGCTGCCAAACACAGGTATGTTAGTGTGGAAGTAACACACTACATGGCAGTTTTGAGACTAAAAGTATCCTGTCTGTCACTACCTGAGCTGCTGAGGATTTTACATGCAGCAATGAGCAATACCAGGCTGTTCATTAGTCAGGCCTCAAAAAATCCCAAGGTGTGTGAAATGCTCAGATGTTCCAAAATAACAAATCCTTCTGATTTGGCTTCTTGCTCTCTTTTTATGTGAGAAATATGTAGTTTTCAGCATAACTTTTACCAAGCTATCATCTTTAAAAGTACAGCTGCAGCAGTCATTGTTACAAGTTCCTATACCAGCTCTTTCTGCAGAGCATAAAGCATTTGCCTAAATTCTAGAAACCCTCACATGTGAAAACCTCATTGCCAAGTTCCTCTTGGCAGATTCACCACCTTTAAAAGAACATTTTGTGTTCAGAAGAATACCTAGAAACACCTACCAAATAAAAATAAAAAGCGTAAGCAAAAAAATCCCATTAAGAATGTAATTCTAAGCTGCTTCAGTGTGACAGCTATCTTGTAGTGATGGAAACTGGGCCACATACTCACTTTTCCTAAGATGGCTTTGCCTTACCATCTCTTATGTTTTATTTTTGGAACCACATAAAACAGCCACAAAATGAAACTTTATTCGGAAAAGTCTTATCTTGTCATCTGTTTCTCTTAGGGTTTGCAACTCCCTTCTCTGAAATTATGTAGGACACTGCACTCAGCAATGCAGTGGAATACAGAATGTCATTTCCACAATATCCTATGACAGACTTGAGGTAGACAAGTGTATCAGGCTCAGTACCTAAAAAGGATGGTTTGCCCCTCCTTTTCTCTTGCTCTTATACTGTCCCAGGTCCAACAGTGAGCCAGCGCTCTTTACTCAAGAGGCAGAAAACTCAACACAAAAATATAAGCTAATAGTTCAAGAAACCAGAAATATGCTAGAAACAAAGAACTGGACTCTAAATAGTCTTCTCAATTTACTGCTGTTAGGAGAAAAGGGGGAAGTCACAGGAAGGCATCACTCTCCTCTCAGCAGTGGTGTAGCAGAAGGCCCAATGGACATTCACATTATGCCTGTCAATTTTCAGTTATTAATATGCATACAGCAGCTCACCACTCATTCTCATTACAAAATACCTCTACTCCCTTGAGAAGAACGTTTTATTAGAAATACTATCTCCTAAAGTTTTTAAGGTTCATTTGAAATGGTCTCAATTATATGAAAGTTTATGCAGTAACCTAATAACCTCAACTGTACAAATACCACCCTCTTAACTTAGTACTACACATAGCATTAAAGACTTCCATTATACAAGGTCAGGAAAAGCTACATTATAGAACCTTTGTTATTTATCAAAGCCTCTCTGTTGTTCCTCTCTCTCTAAGAGCAGTTAGGTCTTCATCAGGTTTTTTTGGTCCAGCTTTCTGCCCTCTGGCCACCAGACTCAGTTTACTGAACACTCAGGCTCCCTGTCTTCTGAGGGATTTCCCTTTGCAACAAAGGACACTGCCCAGAAATAATCAGTTGCTCTTTGAGAACTTAAGAACCCTTCCATCAAACTGAGTAAGGCTGTAAAGTGATTCTTCTGCTGTCCAGCATGGGTGGTGAGAACCTGTTGCCATGAACTCAGCCTGCATCCAGATAATGTCAAGCATTACAGGCAGGTTATGAATGCTATATTTCAAATACATCAAATAATGCCCAAAGCACGCCACCTAAAATTGCTGAACCCGAATGACAGGGTCATCCCAATGGGAAGAAAAATCTCAAGCTGTATAACTATATAAGATAAATATTTGACAACTTTGAGAGTAATGATAACCTGTTTGTCCTACGGTGAATTCCAAACACTGGTAGTAATGATGTGGAAAATGCCGTATAACTCAAAGGAGTTAAAAATTGTACATCACTGAGAAATAAAGAGGTTCTTTTGAGAAACACAACAGAACTTATGTTATATTGCCCTGTATTGGGGCTGTTTGTGCATGACCACATTGATTTCTACATAAGAAGCACCCCCAGATGTATGAAATCAAAATTACCTTGGCATTGTATGAAAAGAAAATTCTTGTTTCCAAGAATGTAAAGGGGAAATGCTCACCAGAAATTCAGGATATGAAATTATTTAGCAAATATAACAGATCCAGTGTAAGGAGATCCAGTCAGAAAAAGATAAAATGAAAATAAGTTTTATGAAGAGAATACATGCATCCAATGTATCCATTAGAAATGGTCAGCTCTAACAGTCTCACACACTGTTAAACAGCCCTGATATTTGTTATCCCAACTGCTCTGCAATAACTGTTAACTGCAAGTGTCAAGTAGCATTACCATGCTCATTTCATCTACAGGAAAAGTAAATAGAAATGATTCCTCAAAGCTCTATCTTGTGGAACAAAAGAAAGCTATCGCTAATGTAAGGAACTGACGCTCCTTGGAGAAGAAGTAAAAAAACATTTGCTGAGAATCAAGTATCAAGTAGCTATTTGAAAATGTTTCCATTGTTTTATCCTTGTTTCTTTCTTCTTTTTGGCAATGTTGTTTCCTATGGCACAGGAAACATCCCAACAGGCCATGTGGGGGTGCTGTACTCAGCACACAACTTTTCGCACCAGTAGGTTCGCATACCCACAAACTATCCACTGGCTTTCTTCAGAATTCGGACATTTACTTCGCCCAGCCAGTGACAGTCTGAAGGCTGGTAAGCCCAGGCTGACAGATTCGGGTGCTCTCTGTCGGGCTATACACCACGCTTCTTGGACAAAGCGGCAGGTATGAACACACTCGATGAGAGCGGAAACAACCACTCTCATTAGAGCCCATTCGTACCCTCATCTTTACCACGACTAGAAGCCGTTCTTCAAGGATGGCCAAAACCGCGCCCGAAGCAGCAGCGGTGCCGCCCGAGCCGAGTCACGGTGAGACCAGCGCATGTGACAGCAAGCACGGCGCCTGCGGTCGGCTGTGGGCGCAACTTCCCCGCTGCGCGCCCGTCCCAGCCCGGCCGGGGCGCTCCGCGGGGCGGGGGCAGCCGCAGACCCGGCTGGCGGCTGGGGCGGCCCGCCCTCACCCCGCGCCCGTGCCGCTCACCTCGGAGGCGCCTCTGGTACCGCTCCAGGGACTCCTCCAGGGCGCGCTCCCCGCGGGGCGCCCGCATCAGGGCGCCGCTGGCTGCCGGCGAGCAGCCGGCGCTGTCCCCCGGCACCGGGGGCTCCCCGCGGCGAGGCTGGGGGACAGTAGTTCCACCCGTTCTACCTTCCCGCGCTGGGCTCTCGGAGGAGCCACCTGCGGGGATCCCTCCGGCTCCTGGTGGCCGACCGTTGCCGTCGGCCGCCGCAGCTGAGACTAGCAACGCCAGGAATCCCTCGCGCTTCCCGACGGCGGGAATGTCGCCGCCAGGACTACAAGTCCCAGCATGCACCGCGCCGCCGGAGACAGAGTCCCCTCCCACCGCCCACCCCCGGCAACCGGGAAAGGGTGGTCGCCGCAACTCATCTCCCCTTTGTTGTGGATCGCAGCCGCAGTCGCGCCTGCGCACAGCACAGCCCGTCCGCCTACGCCCTCGGGCCTGCAGCGGGCTCAGCGGCGGTCCCGCCACGGCCGGGGCGGATCGGGGCGGGAAACGCCGTTTACCTCCCGCCATCGCCCGCGCGGGGAGCGCCCGCAGCCCGGGGAACGCTATTGTCTGCGGGCGGCGCAGGCGCAGCGCGGCCCCGCCGCCGCTGGGCCCCGGCGCGTGCGCAGTGCGGCGCGGTGCCGCGGTGCCGTTAGCCGCCGCTATGTGCAGGGAATAACGCCGGGGCCGTTGCCACAGGGACACCGAGCGCTCCGCCCTCGCTCCGCATCCCGCGGGATGCCGGCTCGCTGAGCACCCGCTAGCGACGGCCCCTCCCCGGCGCGCGAGCCTCCTCGGAGGGGTGAGTGAGGATGATGCTGCCGCCGCCGCCCTGGGCTGCGGGTCGGGCGGGAGCCGTGGCGGGGAGCGGGGCCGCGGTCCGCCCGGTGCCTATTGTGTCAGGAGGTACCCGCCCGCCGGGACCCGGGCGGGCTGCGGCCGGCGGAGGGGGAGGCAGCACGGTCTGGGCACAGCCCGCTCCCCCTCCCCCGTCGGGCCCGTAGCTTACTCCGCGCCCCCGCCTCCCTTTCCCCTCGTCGGCGCGGGGCGATCGCCGCTGCCAGGGGGCATCGCCTCAGGCGGGACGCGGACGGCATCCCGCATCTGGCATTTGGTGCTGCTGGATCCCGCTGGCCGCGTCTCCCTGCCCCTTTCCGCCCGCGGGGCGCCCCGGCACACCCACCCAGCCAGCCAGCCAGCCAGCCCCGGGGCTGCGCAGCCTCCCCTCCCGCGGGCGGATTTCCGCGGTTCCAGCGGAGACGCTTCCAGAGGTTTAATTTTTTTTTGGGGTGACCTTCTTTCACTGGCTGCCCCGCGGCTGGAGGCAGCGTGTTTCTCCGGATGTAAAAATCAGTGACGCCCTTCGTCTGGGATGCGGCGTTTCCCCCCATCCTAAAATAATATCTTCTGTGAAAGGGTGATGGAGAAAATCTGCGGGTTTCGCCTTTTCTCGTATTGTGTATTTCCACCCGAGGAGTCAGGTCCCCTGCTTCCGAAAATATCCTCCCGAAGGCGGGAGCTTTTCCTTTTTCGAGGCGCTTCCCGGGAAAAACATGAAATCAGGGTTTTGTCCCCCGAGGAGCAGCCCGGGCCCACTTTGTGTGCCCGCCGTGGGGACGAACGGGTTACTGCGCTAACAAAAACCCGATGGCGATTTTCGAGCAGAAAGCGGCGTCGCAGAAAGCGGAGGAAGCGGGCGGGAGGGGCGGGGCGGGGGCGCTCCCCGGGCCCCCGGCGCCCTGCGAGCCCGGAGCCGGGAGGGCACGGCTGAGCGCTGCCTGCCAGCGCTGCCGGCCGTGTTCTGAGCGCTTTTTCGGCATCAGCCGACAATTAGCCCATCAATGCTCGCGGCTTGATAGGGGAAAAAAAAAAAAAAAAAAAAGAGATGTAGATGGTATGCTGATGTGTTGTGTATACATAAAGATTGCGTTATTGTGACAAGAGATTAGATAGCATCCACTGATCTGCACTTGGAGGAAATTATTTTCTTCTCTGTGAAAGCAAAGGTACTCATAAAATATTTAAGTACTTTGAAAGAATAAAGCCTGTTCTAGCACTGCGATGATCATCTTTTCTCCTTTGGAATGCCATTCAAGGCTTTGTGACAGCGTTCTTGGCCCTGGGCTTGCATCTGCAAAATGATATGTGGGATGGGACAGTTTTTGTAAACTGAACAGAGGCATGATTACATATGCTGTGATTTCCTATGATTAATTTCCTCTGGGAATTACTTTCTGTTCAGATGCTGAGAAGTCTGTCTTGCTAAACTCTACTGATATGGGAGCTCTTCAGCTTTCAATTTTATTTAACGGGGAAAAAGTTAAACATAAGCACTGCAAATAATCTCCCTTCGCTCTTTGATTGTCACTTTTAAAAATACTTTTTCACCTTCATGTAAATGTTCTGTTCTTGTTGGCTTTTTTTCTCCCTTTGTCTGATGGAGGTTTGGAAGGCTGGCTGAATAGAGAGAGTAGTGCAGCTGGGGATACAAGGAATTTTGTCAAAATCTCAACAATCTTGAAGTTATTTGGAATGGATCAGATTAAAATGCTTTCTTTAATTCTTTTGAAGAGAAACCTTCTGGCTTATAAGTTGTTACCAAACTTTGGCATGACATTGCATGCATTGTTTGGGGAGTGGTTTTGACATATGATTATTGCCCATGTCTAATCTGACTTTTGAAAAAAAAATGGGTTATTTCTATCTTGAGTTTCATCTGCTGTAATGGACTTGACAAGCAAAATTTCTTTAAAATTCTATTGATAACATACAAGCCAGAAAAGCTCCAGGTTATGAAAATGAACTGCAAAAGTCTATGTTCAGTTGTAGGTGAGAGCTTGGAATCTTCCTCAAATGCCTGGAATGAAACCCAAGGCATGAGAAGTTGCAGAAATGGATTTTGCAGTACCATTTCCAGTTCTTGGCATTGCAGGGAGAAGGTATTTAATGTATATTGACACCATAGTATCTCCTTGACTCTCCTAACAGGACAGTTTCCATGTTAGCACTGCTTTTCTTAGCTTTGCAGGCAGAATGGAACAGAGATGCAACAGATTGTTTTTACTTTAGCTAGAAAGCAAAGAAAAGCTGTGAAATTCTGGTTTTCCTTTAGAAAAATTCTAAACTGAGGCATCAGATATGGAATACATGCATATAGTAGCTTTTCTATAAGTAAATTCTCTCTGCTTCTAGCACTTGTGAGATTGTAAAAGAACACAGTAGCACTTCCCCCTGTTTGAAGAATATGCACAATGTAGTAAAAATTGATTCTGTTGTGACCAAGAGACTGCAAATTGAGAAAAGGGAGTTGTTAGTGACTGAGGGATGGAGCTTCAAGTCTGCTAGCTGGGAGCTGGTGTTAGATGTGTGTATCTCCTCTAAGGTGCACATCTTCACTGTGCTGATTGAGCCTGTGGGGGCCTTTCATTGTCTCTTAGGTTTGTAATGCTCTCACCAAAGGCCTGTGTGCCTTCCGTTCTGGTATTGATCCTTGCGTGTATCCATGCATTTTCAAGGGACTGGTCTCCTTCAATGCTCAGTGCTAATGTTTCCCTGGATCACAGTCCAGCTAGCATGTTGAATGGGACAGGTGTCATGGGGAAAGTAGTATGTGATTAGGTGACTTAAACTGTAACAGAATGCATGCAAATAAAGGTGGGAAGAGAGTTGTTTAAACGACTTCATATGTGTCGGTTGTAATTGAAATATTAAAAAAATACTAAAATAAATTGCAAATGCCTAAATCCGTATTGCAGTTTAGTTTCTCTGACTCTACCACCAAAAAGCTGGGAGGCTTTATTCTGGAAGGTTTTTATTCTACAAATGCATTTGTGAGTAGAGTGATCTATTTAATTAAAATTGTGTTTGACCTTCAAAAAAACACTTATATTTTAAATTAGTATGTATCATTTTTTATCATATGTCAAAACCAGCTTGTCCTAGAAGTATCAAATAAAAGCCACAATTATATTTTAGTAGATTGCTGATGGAATTAGATTTCAGGTGGGGAGACCTGTGTTTGGGAATGTACTCAGTGCTGCAGCACTGAAATGTAAGTGTGTTCTGCCAGCTCTTAGATTATGGGGGAGAGGTAAGGGAGTGGGGTGGATATTGAAGAGGCTGACTAGTTGTTCTCCTGTCTTAATGGCTCTGCATGGAGTATTCCCAGTTACTTCCTTCTCTTTGGGTTTGGTACAGCATGGCTGCACTGCTTTGTTGCAGTGACTCTGGTAGTTTACCAAGTACATGAGAAGTTAATTCACTCCACTAACCCAGGAGAACAGTTTCTTTTCTTTTTGTTTTGCTCTTTTTTTTTTTTTTTCCCCTTCCTCCCTTGGATTAGCAAATTGAATTATCTTATTGTGTGGTCAGATGACTGCCAGAGCAAGTACACAGAACAGGGTCAGCAGTGTCAAGCCAGGAAGAGGGGAATACTCATTTTTCCAGTAGCAAAGATACATTTCATTTACTTTACTGTCCTATATGGCTGTCCTCTGCACCACTGCAGGCTACTGCGGTCAGACAAGAGGTGGGCTATGTATTAATCCAAGAAAACAAAAAATTGAGGTACTGGGTTTGTTCTGTTAGTCTTTATTTGAGGTCCTTGATATGTAAAATGTCCACAGCCACAGACTAAACATTAAGAACCTATCACTGGAAGAAAAAAAAAAAAAGTTCTCTGGAAAGTAAATGTTAAAAGAGGGAAGATGAGTAGCTCTGTTAAGCATTGTGGCCTTTGTATGAGGATAAGCAGGATTTTTGGTCCAGGCTAATGTTGGTATTTTCTCCTTTATGGAATTTAGGGTTGTAAATTTTTGAGTATTTTCGTAGTTTTGTCTCTCCTATTTACTACTTTTGAAGTCTGTGGGTTTTGTGAATTGTAGGAAAGTTCTAGTAGGTAGGGGTTTTGAGAAAGGGTGGGTTTTTAGATTCGTAGTTTTTATTTTTATTCCTTGAATAGAATGTAATAAACTTTTTCACATGTGAGCCCAGCAAAGCCCAGCTTTGTTTCTCCTTCTCTTTTTCTCCTCTGATAAACTGTTAGTGAAAAGATAGACTTCTCCTTAGCTAGGTGCTTTTCAGAGCTATGGTATCATCCACTGGTGGGTCTAGTGGGCTGACTCAGATCCAACAACCGCAGGCCTCTTTCTGTCTTGCTCCTTTGGTTGGTTTTGCTGCTTTTATTGCAAGGTTTGGTGTTCTTGTAATAGAGTCCTCTGTTTACTTATTTCCATTCTTTTGAC